ATTATGTTTGACAGACATTTTGCACAAAAACAAGTTTAACAGGATAGCTTTGAAATTTCTAAGTTTAATTAAAATTGAATGCATCACTACTTTTTTCACTTCAAATTAACATAAGGCAGATAGATCCGATCAGACGAAAACTGGCCATTTAGTCCAATATGTTGTCAACAACAGTGGTAAATACCAAATCTGAATCTTTACCAAAAGTAAGCAGAATCAGAGGAGTGATTTGAGGCTTTGGGGAGTCAAAGCTTCTCAAAATGCCCTGCCTGAATTTCTAATCATGTTTCAGAAGCTCATCAAAGGCAGACGTAGTGTCTCTGCATTTAGTAGTACTTCATACGGTAGTTAATGGAAGAAAAATCTGACATTTAGCATCTACACATGTGGCAGGGAGGTGTTCCAGACCTTATGTATATGATATATGAAAGTACAGCCTTTTTTGATTTTTTGAGCCTGCAAATTACTGATTTTTCTGTGAGAGACAGCAAGAGCAAGCTTCACCTATTTACCGTAACAGTGCCATTTACGTCCCTTCCCTTGGTTGTCTCCAACATGGAAAAGTCCTACATTTCAGTCGCTCTTTGAATGGAGTTCCTTCCATGCTTTGAATCTTGCCAAGTTTTTCCAGTTTTCTTGAACAACACAAGGTGTGAATGCAGTTTGTTCTCCATTTGTTTCCTAATAATACCTGGCATCCTATTTCTGTTATGGGCTGCTTCTGAGCAGTTGCCTAGTGTTTTCATAAAATTGCCTATTATAGCCCCAAGTTTTCATTTCCCAACAAGTTATACCACAGGACTGTATATTTAAAGCAGGAATTGTTTTAACCTATGTGCGTTACTTTGTGTTTATCTATATTTTATTTCATCTGACATTTTGTTATCCAGTCAGTCTTGTAATCACTTACTGCTATAATCCACAACTGGCTTTTGTGAATACTTTCCTGAATCAGTTGGTGTTGTCATGCACTCCTCTCTCATGTGTCCAGAGGATATCACAAGCCCTCTCAGATCATGTGCAGGGGAAACCTACTTTCAAAATGAAAGTAGAAAATGTTTCCAACTGTCTGTTTTCTAATTCCAGCTGGTTCTTTAACAGTTGATGAAATTGCCATGCAAAATCTTTAAAATTTTAATTATCCTGAAACCTTTTTTTCCTTAACCAAAATAAAGTTAGTTCACTTGAGGTTGGAGCAGTATTGTATGTTAAAGAATTTAGCAGAGTCACAGAGTCTTTTTAAATGATCATTTATTTTGGGTGTTTAAATATTTTATATTCCATTTAAATTTTATATTCAATTTAAATTTTCCAACAGCTTTTTAGTATAACAAAATCTACATTATTTTGCACCCAAATTTTGGATATTGTCCAACATTCACTAGGAGTGTTACGTAAGGGCACAGTTCACTGCCAAACAGGCACAAAACATACCTTGCTTTTTTACAGACTATCCTAGTTCAAACTACAGTAGTCAAGTTTGCTAACTCAGGTAAAACTCCCTCATTCAGACAGAAGTAGAATTAGCATTCAGGTATTCAGATGTCTTTGTTTCATTCACTGTTTGTTTCATTCCCATTCCACCATATATTATTAAATCCCCCTTCTTTTCCGAATTTCCATAACTAGATCTGACAAGTCTACCAAGAGGCTACTTGCCTATAAAAAAAGGAAAAAAAAAGAAAGAAATCAGGTTTACTAAGAAATACAACAGATAATAGCAGATAAATGGAGTTTAAAAGGGAAATACCCACTTGTAGACAGGAAAATGCCCATTTGGCCATAAGGAGCAGGAAAAAATTCTTCATTTCAAATAGCAGTACAGCAGCACAACAACTTCTGGAAATACTATTAATTTAACTTAAAAGTATTTTAAAGACTTTTGTGGTAATGGTTCATGCTCTGAGTTATATACATTTTCAAGATGGAAGGTAATACAGGTTAAATATTGGAAATGTCAAGATTTTTGCAGAAAAAAAATTGTAGAAGCTGTAGGGCTTTTAGCTCATTGCAAGATACCATTTGAAGTTTGATAAAGGTGAATAAAAATCTAGGGCTTCAAATTATTATTTTTTTTTTATGTCATGAAACAGTAAGGGGGAAAATGTATTCATTGGGCCTAGCTCACAATGTAATGAAAAGATTTCCATTGATTTATACGGAAAATGAATCAGGCAACTAGTCAGAGCCTACATGTATTTCAGCTTCACTCTTCAGACTTCCTGCATTTATTCATAGGACACATGCTAACTTCTTGTTAAAATCATTCCACTGACATCTAAAAGAAGAACTGGGAGAATAACAGCATTCTGCAAGGCAGTAAATTTCTGATAAAGAATCTTTAAATAATACATTGATTGAAAATGTTGTTAAACTGGTGAGGAATATGACAGATTTACTGGTGGAGAAGGGTAGAATTAACCATCATTGGCATCAAGCTGGTATGAAATCAAAATAGTTTAAACCCCAAGAATTCTGATACTTGGTGTGATTTCCAGTGTGTTAGACTGACTTGCTTAAGGTAAGAAGGTCCTCAAAGTCAAATATGTGTTTACTGATCTTTAGCAGAATTATGAATTCTACTGTTTGTACACTTAGGCATATGTCTACTCAATCAGATGATTTAAGAGTGCCTACTGATATTAAAGCTTCAAGGCTAATTCTGTGTAATAGTGTGGACTTAAAGAAATCATTTATATTTTTGTTTTAAATAGCATAATTATATAGAAAGTTTGACTTGCTATTTTAACTTGGAAAATTATTTTAAACTATAAAAAAGAATAAAAAATAGAAAGATGAGAAATATGAAGTCTTAAAGCAAACAGGACATTGTAAAAAAAACCCTAAACAGAATGACAGGCTGATTATGCATATGAATAACTATGACTGTATACACAACTCTATTCCTACTTTTGATAATTAACTTCTGTGAAAGACAAAGTGTCTAAGTGCCTTGGGTACTTATGGCACCAAAGATGCTTTCCGGATAGTCATGTAACTACTATGTACATCCCAAATTCTGTAATTCATATGTACACATCACAGATTTGCCAGCATGCATTTCCTGGATTCTGGTTGTTGCCTTGTGGCTTTCAACTTTTGCTCACAGCCACAATTTTCTGTTGACCAATCTCATATTTTAAAAGCATCACTGCTTTCCCAGCAATTCATCCATGGGATCGTGTTTGTTCATAGGAACACTTAAATACAAGCTTTACAACCATTTATTTGGCGAGTACCATTTATGGAAGATAGTTATTTTCTGAGCAGATATTGCTCCTTTACTTAACAACAATAACATTTTACCCATGGGATAAAGGGATGAATTCACTCAAGTGATTTATTATTTTTCTACGTGGCCAGCCCAGTTCTAAAATGACGTTTGTAAACCTCAGTTTTCTTACAAGACCGTGGTAAAGTTATAATAATTCTAACATAGCACTGCTTACAGAGTAAGCATGTGTAGCTTGAGCACACAAAGAACCATTAGCAGGACTGGCAAGTGGTGAAAGTAACAATGAGCTGAAAGGGTTGATTTGGAAAACTAAATCAAGCTATGAATTTTCAATTACTGTGTAAGTGGAGTGATTTAAAGTACAGAAATAGAGGATGTCCGTGTCTGTGGTTTGTTCAGGTGCTGTTGAGATGAAGTGTCTCTGGAAGAGAGGGTGTGAGGACAAATTACTGTTGCAGAGTAATACTCAGATTTATGGTCATCCTTTTAAAATTTATGTTTGTTTCTAGATCAATGTCCTTAGGTCTAATTTTCCTCTCCTCAAAGCAGTTAACAACCAGCAAGGACTTTTTACCAAGGATTTAGAGCATAAAACTGGCACAAGACCTCTTATAGTCAACATGGAATTATTCTGCTTATATACTTCCTAGTGTTGTATCTAGATAAGGTGAAGGCTAAAGCAGTTCCTAAACCCCATACTAATTTTTTTTCTACTTAGGAGAAAAAACTGTCACAGTTCCTGAAACTTGGCAACCTTTTTTTTCTATAGATTCTCTGAAGGTGATTGATACCAGCTTAAGAAATAAGTATTACTCAGTAAATAATAAATTATTCAATTTGTTGTCAGCTAGTTCACTTACAAGAATGCTAGTTCATTTTATGCACATTATGAAGGCATACTAACTTAGATATGGCAAGTGCAGTGTAGTTAACTGGTGTCAGGCAATAAAATTGGGGATGGGAGTAAACATGTTATAGTTTGTTGCACATCCTTTACTGTTGTTCAAAGGTGCATTATTGTCAGGCAGAAGGGTAAAAGCTGAGATTGCAGCCTGTGACCTTCAATGTATTATGATGTGCTACATGAGCTCAAGCTATACAACTGCTCAAAAATTTTGACTTCTGGAAAAAAAGCCTGTTCTGCATAGCCCCTTCTTTTCTCAACTTCACTTGCTGTTTTGGAAGGGTCAAGAAGAGATAAAACGGGCACCATCCTTTGAAAACAGCAAGAGTGAAATGGATATCGAGCCCAGTTTCACAAGGTTCAGGAAATTGTATGACTACATGTTGTGTACAGCCAAATGCTATCCTGTTCCATGCTGCCTTCTTATATAAATGCCTTGTATAGATAACCTTGTCATGTAATCATGGAAAGAATATGTTATTTCTTATAGCCTTCAATGCTCAATGTTCCATGAGATTTCAGTTCCTACTCAGCCAAGAGAATGTAATATCCGTAGTTAGTGTGGCTCTGTCTTTGCCTTTCATTTGTTTAACATGTTTGGCAAAAGCAGTGGCTTTCATCATCACTTTTACCTTTTGGGGGTGAATGCAGGGAGTGCCTTATTTATCTTTAGCACCAAAGAATAAACACTGTTTTTGGTGTAAGTAAAAATGCTACACGTAAGTTACTATACTTAGTAATTTATGAGTCTCATTTCCTTAAATGAAGATGGCCAATACAGAAAACTATTATTTCCTTTGAAAGAGTACTACAGAACTCTTTGCTTAAAGGGTACACGATTTCAGAAAGAGGGGTGGAAATTGGGGAGCTATTCAACACTAAAGGGAAGGAGGCAAAAGCATTTAAATATTGCATATTTAAGTTGTGTTTATAACTTGGAAAACACATTAAAAGTTCTTCTCAAGGGAGTGTGAGAGAGTCAAATTTATCTAAAATGCAAAAGCTTTCATTATCTCTCCCACAGTATAAAGAGAAAACCCACAAGCAAAGATGAACTTGCAGTTGTCTCAAGAGGCTGCTAGGTCAGTCAGCTGCTGCAGAAACTTCTGTAATGCTTTGCCTTCCTTTAACACTGTATGTGTTTGGATGAATAAAACCTGAAAGCAGAAAATATGGTTCCACAATTTGTTTTAGTAATGCACAGTAGGTTCTACTCACCCACCTTAGGTAAAACAAAGGTTTAACTCTACTAAGAGACAAACTTCATCTAAAATCTGTATGATATTTTCAGATAAATAATTAGCATTGCATATTTTTATTTTACCAAAGTAATAATTTTCTGTTGGGATATTTGCTTTACTATTTTCCTTGGACTTCTGTTCAGCTTAACACTCCTGACAAAGCATGTTTTTACGTATGTAGCCACTCTTCAGTTAAATGCTGTCTTTCGTATAGTAACTGATAGAAATAATCCTGGCTCCACTATTAATAGTAAAAAAACACTTATTCTGTAAGAAGTCTTTAGTTTGAGTATATGATAGCATATATATGTATAATCAATGAAAGCTATAATGTGTGCAAACAACCCCCTGAGTGTTTAAGTGTTAGGAAGGTGGAAAATGTAATCGTGTTTTTTCTCTAACCAAATCACTGTAATGACAGAGTGGAATCTGGCAAAACAAAACAAAACAAGGCAAAAAATCAGACCCCAAAAAGCAGACCTCAAAACCCCAAATCCAATTCTTGGCTTGAGTGAAATGCAGAGATTGGTATAGACCAGCTTGTCCAAGCACAGTTATTCATGTGTTTAAGTAGCATTAGGTTACAGTAAAACCACTCAGATGTCTGGCAATCTGGTGTATTTCCTTTTCAGAAATGCATTTTAACATGGGACTGCCAGTTTAATCTTTGGCCAGAAGTTTGTTTAAAGATATTGCCAAGACTATACAAAGATAGGAAGTTAGCATTTTCAGAAGAAATCTTTTTAGAGAAGGTTATTTCCTCTCTTTAGAGGAACCTTTAAGAGGAAATCTCTTACGTATGAGACCAAGCACTTAATTTCTAGGGACTAATTCTTTTGTTTGCGAGTTATGATGCAAAATTTAAGAGAGATTAAAGATCTGGTTCTCTTCTATGCAAATTAATGGAAATTGTGCATATGGCTTCTGAAATCTAGTTTCAAAGGGGATAACTGCCTTACAAATTCAATAATTTATAATTAATGCCTTGAACAATACTACCAATGAACTGAATTATTCATCTTTAAAAGAAACATCTACATTTTGTTCACATCTTGAATTTCCTCCATAGAAGCTTTCTTCAGGATCTTCCCATTTGCAAGTTTTATTCATGTGTTGCATTTCTAATATCAATGAGGCTGAAAACTGTAAACAAATACTTCAATTAAGTGAAAACAGCATTTTAATATTAAATCAACATGGTCTTGGATTTTGGTCACTTATATAAACCTGGGATAGCATGTTAGACATAACTAGGTTTCTAACTGCATTCAGATTTGATTAGTGTATCTGAACATGCAGTTAAGGTGAAAGATTTTTCTGCAATGCATATTTTCCCTTTTCCTAGAAACTGAATTACTTAGAGACAACTTTGATTTGACATGTAACCATTTAACAAGAGGTTTAATACGTTTTTTTAAAAACTGAACAAATGTTAGGGTATTTTTACCTTCTTAATGGTATTTTTTTTTCCATGGATTGAATACTCTCAGAAACAATGGATCTAGAATAGGCTTTAATGAATAAGAAATATCCTTTTATGAAAAGTTACTCTTATTTTCACTTGTGGTTCAACCATACTATCACTAGGATTTCTTTATTATTTTTTCCAGTTCCTCTGTGAGATCCTTAGAAAAAAAATAATTTTCACAGGAATGTCTGGTAGCAAAAGGCAGTTATAGAGTTCATGAATGTAAGGCACGAGTTGAACCTTCCACTATAGAATGGCAAAGTCCATGCCTACTTTTAAAGGTGAAAGTTAAACATTAGCAGCATCAAGAAGATAATTTTCCTTAGAGGACAGGAGATGGCTGTGACTGCTGCAGAAAATTTTCCTGGTTATTTCAATACATACGTGCAAACTGCACATAGAAAAGCAATTGCTCTCTGGATGATGGTCACACCTTGAACAGCAGTCAGAAGAATTTCTCTTTCCCTGAGTTTTGGTTCTAGTTTAATACTTTCAGCTTCTAGTTTACATTGCCTAATTTAGGTCTATATCATGTCTTGACAGAGTAAAAATTTGTGTATATTTTCTACTAATAGTTCTCATTATTTTCTCTGTGACAGAATTTAACATGTTCATTTAAACGCTTTTTTTCCTTTTTCCAGTTAACTGCAGAAATAAGCAGAACAAAATGCTTGAAGACACATATAACATTTCAAGTTCTATGAAAGTGCAACAAAAAATAATAGCAGAATTCATGCAATCATCCAAATCAGACAGTAACTTTCCCAGACAGCAACTTTCCCAGACAGCACCGGGAGAAACATTGAAAGTGAGTAGACAGTGAGAAACACCAGTGCTGGCTTATTGCAGAAATATCACTGCTGACTTACTGCAGACAGATTAAAGCTGTTTGGGTTTGTTTTTTTAATCTGTAGTGGATCAAGTGAAACAGGTAATAAACACATCAGCATGTCTTCACAACAGACGTATGTTTTGTTTTCTCAAATTCAGATGCAAAACTTTTTGATCAGTTATTATCTCACGTTCATTCACATGGACTAAAGTTAATGGACCATGATCCTTCTCTCCTTTGTCTGTGGTAATATTTAGATGAGATTTAGAAAGAGATGCTTATTCAACAGTGTCATCAAAGCAGCTAATTTCTGTGGTTATGCAGTTGTAATCAAACCAGTCAAAGAATGTGTTTGCTTTAAGCAGTATTCATGGGAATCCTAAATAAACTTCCCGGCCAAGACCTTGCCAGCATCCTTCATCTGAGAGGACAAGAAGTTGTTAAGGCACAAAAAAATTGAAAGACCAAAATAAAAAGAGCAACTACAGTGTCAGAGGTATGAGATTAATCTGTAGTTCACCTCAGCGCCCGCTCATTTTCTGGGAAGGATTCTTCCAACAGGCTGGAGGACCTGTTTGCAGGTAACTATTTACCTACTGTTCATTTCTCCTGCAGATATGTAGGCCAAAGCACATGGTTCCCAGATAGCTGCATCATTAGTGGCGTCAATGCTAGAAGAGCAAATTGTGAAAATTGCAATGTAGATAGAAAATATAGTTTTGTCATACATACCTGATGTCCACACATCTTACTGTTTGGCAACAAGGGATGTAAATGGGTAGAAAACATGTGAGAGCAAAAAAATATCAAGTGAGGCTTTGTTAGCTTGAAACGAGGCTAGAGAGCCTTAATATCTACATGAGAATCTATATAATTAATGGACCCATAGAGGCTTTTTTACTATTGAAACAAAGACTTTTCTGGCCTCCAGACCCATCTTGGTCCTCATAAATATTTGTTTAACATATAGAGGCTAGAAAATGATGAGGGGCAGGGAGGAGAGAAAGTACCTGGAAGGAAGGAATAGAAACCTGTAGGATGAGGAACTGAATATGGCTGGAGAACATAAAAGTCAAACACGTGGTCTAGCCTGCAATCCAGAGAGAGGCACTGAAACCAACCAAATAATGGAAATGTATAACAGGGTTATCACAGAATCATAGAATAGTTAGGGTAGGAAAGGACCTTAAGATCATCAAGTTCCAACCCCCCTGCCATGGGCAGGGACACCTCACACTAAACCATGATGCCCAAGGCTCTGTCCAACCTGGCCTTGAACACTGCCAGGGATGGAGCATTCACAACCTCCCTGGGCAACCTATTCCAGTGCCTCAACACCCTAACAGGAAAGAATTTCCTCCTTATATCCAATCTAAGCTTCCCCTGTTTAAGTTTTAACCCGTTACCCCTTTTCCTATCACTACAATCCCTAATGAAGAGTTCCTCCCCAGCATCCCTACAGGCTCCCTTCAGGTACTGGAAGGCTGCTATGAGGTCTCCACGCAGCCTTCTCTTCTCCAGGCTGAACAGCCCCAACTTTCTCAGCCTATCTTCATACGGGAGGTGCTCCAGTCCCCTGATCATCCTTGTGGCCCTTCTCTGGACTTGTTCCAACAGTTCCATGTTCTTTTTATGTTGAGGACACCAGAACTGCACACAATACTCCAGGTAAAGTCTCACAAGAGCAGAGTAAAGGGGCAGGATCACCTCCTTCGACCTGCTGATGCAGCCCAGGATATGGTTGGCTTTCTGGGCTGCAAGCGCACACTGAAGCCGGCTCATGTTCATTTTCTCATCCACCAACACCCCCAAGTCCTTCTCTGCAGGGCTGCTCTGAATCACTTCTCTGCCCAATCTGTAGCTGTGCCTGGGATTGCTCTGACCCAGGTCTAGGACCTTGCACTTGTCATGGTTAAACTTCATGAGGTTGGCATCAGCCCACCTCACAAGTGTGTCAAGGTCCCTCTGGATGGCATTCCTTCCCTCCAGCGTATCAACCGAACCACACAGCTTGGTGTCATTGGCAAACTTGCTGAGGGCGCACTCAATCCCACTGTCCATTTCAGTGACAAAGATGTGGAACAAGACCGGTCCCAACACCGATCCCTGAGGGACACCACTCGTTACTGGTCTCCAGGTGGACATTGAGCCATTGACCACAACCCTTTGTGTGTGGCCATCCAGTGAGTTCTTTACCCACTGAGTGGTCCATCCATCAAATTGATGTCTCTCCAATTTAGAGACAAGGATGTCATGTGGGACAGTGTCAAACGCTTTGCACAACTCGAGGTAGATGACATCAACTGCTCTACCCCTGTCCATCAGTTCTGTAGCCCCATCACAGAAGGCCACCAAATTGGTCAGGCAGGATTTCCCCTTAGTGAAGCCATGCTGGCTGTCACCAAGCACCTGGTTGTTTTTCATGTGCCTTAGCATGCCTTCCAGGAGAATCTGCTCCAAGATTTTACCAGGCACAGAGGTGAGACTGACTGGTCTGTAATGCCCCGGGTCATCCATTTTCCCCTTCTTCAAAATGGGGGTTATATTTCCCTTTTTCCAGTCATTGGGAACTTCACCTGACTGTCACGATTTCTCAAATATGATGGCCAGTGGCTTCGCAACTTCATTTGCCATCTCCTTCAGGACCCACAGATGGATCTCATCAGGACCCACGGACTTGTGCATGTTCAGATTTTTAAGATGGTCTCGAACCAGATCCTCTCCTACAGTGGGCTCAAGGTCTTCATTCTCACAATCCCTGCATCTGCCTTCCAAGGCATGGGTGGTGCAGTCAGAGCCTTTGTCAGTGAAGACCGAAGGAAAGAATTCATTCAGAACCTCAGCCTTCTCCAAATCCAGGGTAGCCAGTTCTCCCAAGAGCTTCCTGAGGGAGGCTACATTGTCCCTAGTCTGTTTTTTATTTGCTATGTACCTGTAGAAACCCTTCCTGTTATCTTTAATACCTCTAGCTAAGTTTAATTCTAACTGGTCCTTAGCTTTCCTAACTTGGTCCCTAGCTTCTCAGACAACATCCCTGTACTCTTCCCATGCCACCTGTCCTTGCTTCCACTTATTATAAGCCTCTTTTTTCATTTGAATTTTCCTCAGGAGCTCCTTGTTCATCCAAGGAGGTCTCGTGGCCCTCCTGCTGCACTTCCTTCTAGTTGGGATGCAGCACTCCTGAGCTTGTAGCAGGGGATCCTTGAATATCAACCAACAGTCTTGGGCTCCCCTGCCCTTTAGGGCTATATCCCATGGAACCTTACTAAGTAGGTTCCTGAAGAGGCCAAAGTCTGCTCTCTTGAAGTCCAGGGCAGTGAGCTTGCTGCACGCTCTTCTCACTGTCCTGAGGATCTGAAATTCGACCATCTCATGGTCGCTGCAACCAAGGCTGCCCTGGAGCGTCACATTCCCAACGAGCCCTTCTCTGTTGGTGAGCACGAGGTCAAGCATGGCACCTCTCCTTGTCGGCTCCTCTATTACTTGCAGAAGGAAGTTGTCTTCTACACAATAGAGGAACCTCCTGGATTGCTTGTGCCGGGCCGTACCGTCCTTCCAACAGATGTCAGGGTGGTTGAAGTCACCCATGAGAACAAGGGCCTGCGAGCGCGAGGCTTTTTCTATCTGTCTGTGGAGTGCTTCATCCACAGGTTCTCCTTGATCAGGCGGTCTGTAACAGATCCCCACAGTAGTGTCTCCCATAGCTATATTCCCTTTAACCCTGACCCACAGACTCTCTGCTGACTGCTCACCTGTCCCCAGACAGAGTTCCATACTCTCCAGCCTATCCCTAACACAAATAGCAGCTCCTCATCCCCATCTGCCAGGCCTGTCTTTTCTGAAGAGTCTCTAACCTTCCATTCCAACACTCCAGGCATAGGAGCCATCCCACCAGGTTTCTGCGATGCCTGTTGTATCATACCCCTGTAGACGTGCACACATCTCTAATTCCTCTTGTTTGTTCCCCATGCTACGGGCATTTGTATAGAGGCATCTGAGCCAAGCTCCAACTGAAGCTGGCTTATTGGCTGGAGCGGCTGGGATATCTCTACACTGCTCCGAGCATTTATTATAGTTTCTGGCAACTGGCTGGGTGTGTTGGGATGGAATGATGCCCCCCTCCTCCAACACATCTAGTTTAAAGCCTCCTTGACCAGTCTGGCAAGCCTCCTACCAAAAGACCAGCTCCACCAGCCCCCAGTAGACCTGGCCTACAAACCTGGGTCCGGTGTTCAAGACACCCAAACCCCTGACTATGACACCACCCTTTTAACCAGTTATTAACCTGGCTAATCCTCCTAGCTTTTTTTAGGTCCTCCCCTGTACCCTGGAGAATTGATGAAAAGACCACCTGAGCTCCAGAGCCCCTAACCACCTCCCCCAGGGCTCTGTAGTCCTTCTTTATTTTCCTCAGGCTACTACTGTCTATATCCCTAGCACCCACATGTATCACCAGAAGTGGGTAATAGTCCATGGAATTTACTAGAGCAGGCAGCCTCTCTGCCACATCCCTGATCCGTGCCCCTGGTAGGCAACACACCTCCCTTGAGACGGGGTCAGGCTGACAGACGAGTGCTTCTTACAGTGAACAGAATAATCTGGGACTAAGCAAAGGCTTGTGTATGTAATCCCTGATAGCAGGAGAGTCTGTGAAGGCTCATCCACTGTCAATCTAGCCAACAGATGGCAAGTCATTTAACCCATCTGGATTTCTATGGAATTATCTCTTTTTATTATCCGTATCTATGTGCACTTAGATTGTTAGGTAGGCAGAACAGCTATGCCTGTTTTTGAGCTACACTTTCATCTGCAAACTGTATTTGATGTAGTCATGTCAAATCTGGGGCAAGTTAAGATCATTATCCTGTCTTTGAATTTTCTGCTTTGGTCCCATTTCTGGAAATATTTGGATTTATATGGACAGAAGAAACAATTGAGAAAATTAGGAAATTGGAATTTGTTCATGAACTAAGGGAGGAAATACTATGAAATAGTGTAATGAAGAATATATATACTACATTTAAATCCACACTCATTAAGAAAACCATTAGCAATATTATAGGAGTAATGCTTTTCCCAAAAAAAATCAGAGATATTTTGAATAATTTTGTGTGATCAGTGTGGTTCATTACTGTCCCAAGGCCTTAATCTGCCATTATTCATGCTTAAAATGAAATTAAGGTTTGTCCCAGGGGCCTTGTAGACTTATCTAAGGTGGCAGAACCAGGTTACCTTATTGGAAAATGAAGGGAAGTTCTACCTCAAAAAAAATGGATCCAGAATTGCCAAAATAAATGTCTCAATCTTTTCAAAGGCTCATGTCTCTTTCTCTCATTAATAGTCAGTGGAAAGATCTTGGAGCAGTTTGAAGTGAAATACTGGAGAGACAGGTTTTTTTCACTTACTTTAACTACTATAAATGTAAAAAAATGAAATTAAATGGCATGGAATAAATTGGGAGAGAGAAATTTTAGGTGCTGAGGAGGATGGAGGCATACTGACATCCAAGAAATAAAATTTTAAAAAGAAACTACCGAAAGGAAGGTAGGGAATTTTAAACCAATCACAATATTTTAGTATGAAGTAACCATTTCTAATCAAACATGGACAATGTGAAATCAGTACAGCAGTAAATTTAACTCTTATTCAGTGAACTCCCAAAATATTTTAGAATGCAATCAAGATAGCTGCATGATTTCCCCTACTGGGAATATTCTTCACAATGTACCTAATTTCTGTAAAGCCATACAGGCTGGCAAAGGCATTCAGTTGTTTCAGTTAATTAAACTACAGTCCCTTGATGTAGAATGAAGATGAATCCAATACCAGATATGTGGAGCTTTGGAATTATGTAAATGATTGCAATTTTTGGCATGTTTCAATAAAAAATTCGTTTATGTTTCTATAAATGTGTAATTACTGCATTGTGCTTGTCAGCTATTACTTTTAAGCACCTGAGTTTTGCTACAATAGTCATGTAAACAGAGTACCTCTAGTAAAAGGCATAGGACACAACAGCTTACAGACGCCATTGTTCTTTGGTTTTGAACAAAAATCACACACCATTTAGTAATTTATAATTCCTGATTTTTGCTGGAAATGTATGTCTGAAAGCCATTTAAGTACCTAGGATCAGACGCCTTTTCAAAGTTCATGTTCCCTAACAAAGATGTCACCTGACATAGTATAAAACTCCAATGGAAAATTGATTACTTCTTTTAGAATGCAAACATGCTAGCCTGAAAGACTGCAGGCAGGTTCTTAACAAGAGTATTAGGAAAGAAAGATGGGGTTTGTTTTTTTTTCCATTGTTTCAAAATCCAGGGAAGGGAAATGGAAGATCCATCCAAACTCATTCACAATGAGGAATAGGTGTGACTTATTATGCAGTGTTACTGCATTATTCATAGAATGTTGGTATCTGTATTATTTCAGATGCACATTTGCCAGATATGTTCAGAGCAAAGAGAGCTTTGGAGCTCTGTAAGTATTCCAGTGATCCTTTGATTACTTTTCAAGGGAAAGTCGTGGTTAAGATTGCAAGCTAGTGCTCTAGGAAGGAGAGAGAAACAGCTCTCTTGGCAGTTGTTGAGCATCACTGGTGGAGGAAAGCAAGTATTTCCACTGAGCAAATCACAGAGGGTTGAGAAATAACTGCAGTGTGACATTCTGATATTGCATTGTGTTGTTTGCCTTATGGTGCAACTTCAGTACATGATTGCACACCCCCCCCCCCCCGAGTATTGTGACAAAATTGTGAGGCAGCATCGCAATGGCACCAATTCACAATTATGTTGTTGCTCTCCAGCTCCATTAGATAAAGTATTTTTCATGTCTCTCTTACAGAAGGTCACTAACCTACAACATGCACATTCCAGCAGAAATATTTTTGGGGAGAGATGGGAAATCAAAAGTCAGAGTTGTAAGCAATAGGTCATCTCTGAATTACAAAGGAAATTTAGGAGAACACAGTTTGAATCCATGCATCAAATAAGGACTTTCAAATGCAATTGAGCATTCAGTAAAGAATGCTTCTCTTGCACAGCAGAATAATTTTGTGTGAGCTAGTCAATACAAATCTGATGATGGAAAAATGCAGCCATGAATTCTGAATTACCAACAGTGTCATATACTCAGTACTAGTAGGTATCTGTACATAATTAACTGAAAAGTAATTTGGATGTATACTTTTTGTGTATAATAAAGAGCAGTGTCTAATTTTCAATTAGCATGTAAGCATCATAATAAATTGGAAGACTAATTAATCAAATACTGCTACGATACTATTAGCTAATTTACCAAGCAAATTGTTTTTGAACTCTTGTGTGAAGCTGCCTGTGGCTAGGTCAGGTTATAGTGTATAAGTTCTATACTGAAGTCTGTTTTCACTGGCAGACTAGTGTAGATCAGAACCCTGCAAATCCGTATGTGCTGCTAATACAACCCTTGAAGAGCTGACACGTCTTATTCAGAATACTTATTCTCTGTCATATAAGATGAAATTTTACAAATAAAAAATTCAAGATATTACTTGCAAAATTGTTTTAGGTTACATATCACATTTAGTTTCAGCTAACTGGGGGGGGGCACTTAAAAATAAGAGCTGCTACCTAAGAAGCTGGCCAAAGGAATGGGAAAAATATAATAAACAGTTTAAATGCCAAGGTTCAGATGTATATTTTTAACATCCCAGTAGGAAGGGGATGGAAATTTGATGCTTGGTTCATATGGAGAGAAATCTTTAAAACTTGTTTTATGAAAAGATATTCATTGCAGTTCTTGACTAATATGCAGTATCTCTGAACAATGAGAAAACGATCAATAAGATATGTAGGGTACTGTGCACTGGGGTATATGATTTTTCATATAATTATATGAAAATTATTACCAATGTGTATAGACATAGTTGTAAAACAAAATTACATCATTAGAAAGCATATGATAGAAAGTCTTTAAACCAGCATGTACATCTTTTATTGTCATATTTAGAGACTTACTCAAGTAAGAATTTATCATGTATAGTATTTGAGGGAGAATCTTCATCAATCAGCAAGTCTAAATGATCTCCTTATATTGCAAGTATTTACACTAGAAATGAGGCCAAGACTGTTGGTATTCCAGCACTGCTGTAGGTATTTCCAGAGCTCCACAGTTCAGAGGTGCTAAGTATAGCAATCAGATTTCACCTAGACTTGTCTAGGATTTAATGGTCTTACACTTAAGTAAGCCATAAAGTTTAATGGCAGTGTTTGTGTTTAAGGCCAGAAACACACTTATAATACTTTTCTGTACCAAGAACATTAACGCCATCACTGAAATATCTGAACAGCATAAGTGAAGCAATAAATAGAAGAACATTTTGTTGAGGAAGGTTACTATTTGTATTACTATTTTGTTGATCAAGGACAAGGGAGGAGGAGACAAGATCATATTTCTGCCACTTTCACTGGAGCCATGGTGCTTTGTTCCACAGCTCCACAAGTGGTTCCAACTGAATCATGGGGAAGCATGCCCTAGCTCACTATTATTAAATAAAGTATCACAATTTGGCTTGAAACAGCTTTCAGAAAAATCACACAGGAAGTTTGTGTCAGATCGCCCATTATCTGACTCTTAGCCAATGCTGTAACTACAAGACCATCTGAACTGCCTTAGTTTCCAAGCTCCTGTTCCAGAGGGTTACTACTCTTTTTCCTTCCCTCATGGGGTGTGAGTTTCAATAATTACAGCAAGCAGCTGTAAGCACATTTTTAAGGGAAGAGGTGGGGGGAAGGAAAAAAATATTGAATAATTAGTTCCAGTGTAATAAAGGCTTGGGCTTTAAAGACTGAAAGTTTCTCAGCCTGCCAGCAAACTTCTAAAATATTGCCTTATTTTTTATTGATGAAGTGTGTATTTTTAAGCTGTTAGTTGTAAAATGGGCAGGTGAAATCAAGTGCTATAGCAGAATACATAGATTTTGAAGAGTCAAATTCAAACAACACTAATTCTCTGATATTATTAGTGCCATCATGAAATTAAGAGACATATATTTTTCCTAAATAGTGATAGGTTTAATTAAGCTCTCACTATCTTGTCTGGTGGGGCATTGACAAAGTAATTGAGAAGAGCCCTATATTTATACCGTTATTTTTATCTGCAAATTCTTTCTTTTATTGTAAGAAGAAATGTACAAGAGGATGGTTTGTGACTTAACAAGCAGTCCTAATACCAGGATCACACTGGAGCATCTGAATTGCAGGAGGTTACTTCATCCATTCCTCATTCACAGTAAATATGCTAGCTAGAGGAGAAGCAGTTGGCTACTCTTAGTTACTGAATAAGAGTAACTACAGCAGAACCCCAGACCCCAGAACCTAAGCCAATTACAACCACCACCCACCTCAGTGACATATTGCAAGTTGACAACTTGATTAAATCCATTTACCAATGAAGCTGTAGAGCAGGCCTGAAAACTTTTCTTCTTGGGGTGTGGGTCATAGTTATCACGATCATTGGAGCTGGGCAAGGAACTAGCTATGCTGCTGACTCAGCTGCTGTAATATTTAAAAGTTTTCCCACTTTCATCACTAAAGATCATAAAATTTATTTACCATATGTGAATAAGTTAGTTCAGTAATCAGTAAAATACAGGAAAGTATAGTCTTTCAGTGTATAGTACGGTCAGCTAGAAAATTACAACTGAGGGTAAGGAACAGTAGTTCAATTTCAATTTTACAGGATAATTGGCAGGGAGACCAACTATCTGAATCAGAATTTGACTGTGATAGTCACACATCTATAACCCTTGACAAGGTCCTTGACACACTCTGTAAACTACAGTATGGAAAATGCAAAGGTCCGCTTGTGTTTTCTTCTTTCCAGATTATCTGGCACTGCTCTAATTGGGGCAGCTCAGTACAGCTCAACTTTGAATGGAAAGTGGTGTAATGGAGTAGCATGCTGCCAGCTAACAGCTCATGCTTTCCCGTGCTTTTCCTTATACAGTGACACTTTTCTTGGTTAAGCTGAAATGGCTCTTGTGAGAGCGACCCACATTGCTTCCTCCAGCAATGAGGAAATCACCTTGCCAAGAGGAGCTCTCCTCACTGTATATCTTTCCAAATTTGGACAGATCTGTGGTAGTACATCAGCTGCAAAAGGAGCTGAGCATATCAGAAGGCTAGGGACCCACTTTCTACCTGAGAGTAACAAGATTTTTAAACTACTTTTTTATTTTATGGATAATCTTACAATGATTGCTCAGAACTGTTTCCCAAAGAAAATGAAATACTAAAGAAGAACTGAAGAGCAGAAGTAAACCTGCATTCATTTTGGTTTCTGAACTACTTTGCTCAGATAAAACATCTTATTAAGTGTCTGCTTCTTATATGATTATGCTTAAAATTTTTTCTGAACGTTATCCATCATGAGAAAGAATTCAAAACATGGTATCACACCATGAGTGTTCTCAATTGTGGCAAATGTACTATGCTACCAAAGCCAGTCATAATGAGATTATTTCTAATGGAAAAGGTGGTTTATGTCTGCAGCAAAACAATATTATTTTTTATGTGGTCACAATGACACATCTGTTGCATTCCTTGATTGCAACAGCAGAAACATTATTTTATACCGAATTTTCAATTTTGTGATTTTTTCTTGTTTCTTGTCTGTACTGTTCATGTAATAAACCCCCTCTTGTTTGAGAAAAGCCTCTTTTGTATTTAGTCAGGAGGGTGTGCTAGCAAGCTGTCTTTTAACAGGCAGAATCAAATACTAGTATATGCCATCAAATGACAATCAAGTATCATCTTGAAAAGACAAGAAGCATCTTTATTTCCTCTCCTATCCAGAGAATCAAAGGGGTAAGTGTTATCTTGTTTATAAGCGGAAAAAAATCTTTAACAAAGTTTTGTGTGTTGTCTTAAGGGACCTTCTTTGATTTTTGAAGATGTAAGTAATACCATGCTGTAATCTTAAACATGTCAAATTGCAGTTGCAATATCATAATTATCACCTAGTCAGGCACGTGATATCCTCTCCTGTCTTTACAGCTGATGTCCTTAGGCCTTTAAAATAAAGTCTATTCCATGTTAGTAGGGCTGATGTTCGGTTTAAGTGTTTCAGGGCTGTAGAGAAAAATGTTCACTGTGGGCTTGTCGTGGTTTAAACTCAGTCAGGTAATTCGTTCGCTCACTTCCCCCCCTTTCTTGCCCTCCCCCTGCTCCCGGAGGGACGGAGAGGAGAATCGAAAAGAATGCAACTTTGAGATAAGAACAGTTTAGTAACTAAGGTATAACACAAATCACTACTGCTACCACCAGTGATAATAATGATAAAGGAAATGGGAAGAGAATACATCATCTGTAACTCGCCCCCCCAGCCCGACCAAGCTCTGACCGATACCTCCTCCAACCCTGCAGACTCCCAGCCCTTCCGGCTCACTCCCAGTTACATCCTGGGCATGACGTGCTGTGGTATGGAATACCTCTTTGGTCAGTTTGGGTCAGGTGTCCTGTCTCTGCTTCCTCCCAGCTTCCCCTCCTCCCTGGCAGAGCATGAGGCTCACAAAGTCCTTGGCCAAACCAAAACATCGCTTGTTATCAGCTCCGTTCCCGAGCTGAAAGTCAAAACATTGCACTGCACCAGCTACCAAGAAGGGGAAAAATGACTGCTACTGCTGAACCCAGGACAGGGCTCAATGAAGGAAGTTGTGGAATTAGGAATCTGCTGTATTTTCTTGATCTTCCTCTTCCCACATGCATTTTCTCTTGCAATTTTCTGGTGCCACACTTCAGATTTTACTACATTTAAAAGCATAGCAATAATTAATTTTACATTCTTTCAGATTCCAAATATAAGCATAGAAACAATCAAGGTTTGCACCAATATGAGTCAATTATGCTAATCAGGACAGATACTAAGTGATTTTTTGTAGGAAGGAAAATCTAGGAGGCTGAAGTGCTTTTATCTGGTAAGAATTTTCTGGCTGAACATCAAGGATTATGTCAGCGTATCCTGCAGGTTATCAGTTCTGTGTTTTGTTTAAGCCAGGTAGCCATGCTTTGATCCACACAACAAAAGAACTGGCTGTAGGTTGTTTTTTTTTAATCTCATAATTATCACTGTTTGCTACTCTAACAGATTAAACTAAACTCTACAATCACTTATAAACGAGTTTAAGATTGTATATACAACCATAGTATCTGTAAAGCCTTGTGAGGACTTAACTCCTCTTACAGAAATCCAAAATATCGATTGAAATATTTTTTTTTCATTTTGTCACCACCCTGTATTTCTGCATAGAATGCAAATGAATGAGATAAAGAGCAAGAAATGGGTGTGACTGTGCAGTCAAAGCAATGCATATTTTTTTCATTTCTGCTCTCCACCACCAGCTCCAATTCACTACTATGGGGGCAACCCATACTTACTTACAGGTGTTAAAACAGGAAATGGAAATAAAAGAACAGAACAAGGTATAGTGAAAATTAGTACTTACCAGCAAGCATCATTTCCATGTGTTCCTCATGCCAGCAAGGGTATATGCAATAAGAATGTATATTGAGAAAAATCTCCAGGTTTGAATGCAGCTCATAGGTTTGAATACATAGGTTTAAAATCATAAGTTTGAATACAGCTCCCTTAAATACATCTGCTGCTGTTTTGAAAGGGTCTGTCTACTGTCTAATAAAAATGAGGTATTAAGAAATAATTCTTACTCATTGCTACAGCATTCGCTGTGGTCCATGTTTCCTCATAATCAGCCACAAGTAACTGTGCAACTGTTGTCCTTTAAAAATTAGGTCAGCACTTTATGTTTTTAAAGTGATGCATGACAAAAGCTCTTAAGATCAAGCTTGAAGAAAAATCTGTTATTTTATCATATCCTTCATTTTCTTTTGTTAGGTGATGTCTGCTAAGGTAGATTAAATGCTGTTTGCCAGTCTTTTAAGTGCTCTTACCTATTATTCTAAGGGGAAACATTATGTGGATTGGTCTGAAGCTAATGTGGCTTTTAAAGTATAAAATATTTCTTTCCAGACCAAGGAAGAAACAAATAAAGGTCAGAAAAAAAAAAAAAATCAAAAAAAAATCCAGGAAATGCAGCATTCTGTTGCTTATTGTTACGCAGAACCTCACCACTAGAGGAAATCAGCCCAGTAGAGTCTCATTAGCTACTCAGAGAACAGTGTAAAAGATGCAGTACCTGCTTAAGCTGAATCCTAATTAGATGTACTGGAAAATGATGAAAAGATTGCAGGAAGGAATAGAATACATGAAAGTAAGAGATGGAAAATGTTCTCATCTTCCAAATGTTTTTCAAATTACACGTGAAGCCAGTGGAGAAATAATGTTTCATTCTCTCTCCTGCTTAGGCCACAATTTCATTTCTGGTCAGAAGTTAAAATGACCAAGGGTCTTATGCAATAGTAGTATCATGACTGACACAAGCTGATTTGTATCAACCCTGAGATGACTGCAATTGGTATTAACTGTTCACAGGTGACATTTCCTTCTTTTTATATTCTACAGTAAATTCATGCCTGGATATAAATGTTATCAGCCTTGACTGTTCACTCAGAAATTACATTGGTTGAATTACCATCATCAAAATAAATTTATGCAGATTTAAGTTTTAAATTATTTTCATGCTAGTTAGTGATTTAGCAGAACCTTAAAAAAAACACCGTCACCTTTAACAAAGAAACCCATCTTCAGCAGTGCTTCCAAGTGACTTTAATGAAACCATTTTATGCCGTAAATAGAGCCAGCCTTATTTATTCACTCTTCACTGAGCAGCACCTAACAAATATTAGAAAGAAATGGTTTAGCAAAGTAAGCCACATGCAGCCTAATGAGGGATATGTGAAAAGAGTAAAGGGTACATAGGAAATACTCCCTTTGAAAAACAAATGAAAACAAAACAGCTGGAATACAACAGTGATATTGCACACCTGTTCAGGTCTGAACACAAAGAAATCGAGATCTGTTTTAAATTATTTAGGAATTAAAATAATAAGCAGGATGAAATTCTATTTGAGTTCCCAGGAAAGAGGGGCTTTATACTTACATAAAGAATTGTTCTCTTCAGCCTACTAAATGATTCAGAAGCCTGCAGAAATGTCCATAAGACAAGACATATTATAAATGATTGGAGACTTGGGAGTCCATTCTCTAGGAATATTTTCTTTCTTTTCTTTCCTTATCAAATTAACGGACAGCGCTTTTTCTGGTTGCCAAGTGGTTACTACTAACTTAAGTAGGCTTTATTTTGAGGCTTTAAATGAGTTCCCTTAGAAGTTAACACTAAGAAACAGTACTTTTCATTGGAAGACTATAAACTTTCTTCTGCAAGAACTAACACTTGATTCTAATTACAGCTCAAGTGTGACTTTGCTGTTTGTGTCTATTTCTGATTTAGCCAAGGATAATGACCTTTCAATTCATCACACAATGTAAAATAAAAGCTAAATCTGGTATGTCACCCTAAATCAGCACCATCTCTGTCTGTACTCAAGGAACCTTTACTCATTAGTAAATTAGATTAC